TTTGCCTGTTTGAATCTATGTAGGATGCGCAAAGCGCTCTTGACAAACTTCCAAACTCTGTAACTCTTTTCAGGATGCGCTTTGCACCTTCAAAGTGCAAAGTGATGCTACAAGACTGGGTGTCGTCTACCTCAGAGCTGATGCTTGATGGTCAAGAAATAGCTGTTATGGAATTTCGCCGACTTAGGTAACTGCGTTACAAATGACGGTAGCATAGTCAATGAAGTAACCGCTCGCATTTCTAAGGCTCGAGCAGCTCACGCAGGAATGAAACATCTCTGGTGCAGACGCGATGTTTCTGTAAAACTGGAAGGTCGTGTATACTGCGCCAGTGTACGATCAGTTCTGCTCTATGGTTGCGAAACCCTAAAATTGCGCGTGGAAGATATTCGTCATCTAGAAGTCGTCGAATGCCGATGTTTACGTAGTTTGGCGCGGGTTGGATAGCGCGAGCGTGTAAGCAAATTAGAGGTAAGCCGTCGAGTATTTGATAATGATTCGATGGAGAATTCGTTGTCCCATCGAATTCAGATTAGTCGGCTTCACTGGTTACAACAAGTATTGCGCATGCCCAGCCATCGTCTACTGCACCGCGCCTTATTCGCAGTTGCGGCTCCAGGTTGAAGGAAACCGCGTGGAGGTTAACAGATGACGTGGACGCGAGGCATGAAGGAATGCACAGAGCAATTAGGTAGAATCGGTGTCTCCCGTTCTCCATGTTGGGATCCAAAACACTGCAACTGGGTGGTGGAAGACATGGCGACTAACCGACAGCAGTAGCGTTCTTGTTATCATTTCCTATCAGGTCCGAATGCTTGAAAAGGTATATATGCACACATAGATTTTGTACTGTGTTGACCATAGAGGTTCACTTTCTTTGTCTCCCTCCAAATAGACCAAATCCCTCTCCATCTTATGCTTTATCATTTGATCTGTGTACATTGTGAGCTTGGCAGCGATCAGTGACGTTCGCTTCACTGTATCTCGCTGCACGGTGATGATGACTCAAATGAGGGTTTTGCAA